GGCTTAAAAATAATCATACAGAATCTGTAAATTGAAAACTGAATACAAACTTTATTACCAAAGTTAAGTTAAACATACATGGTTATAAGTGTATTGTTTATAGAAAAATTATTATAATGTTTTCTAAATTTCTTTGTTTTTATTTGTAAGGGCTTATTGGATCTGAAGAGTAGGTTTGATCGCTTCCTCCAGGAATCGTTCAATAATGACCGGCTCTTTAAACAAACTATTGCGGGTGACTTTGAGTATTTTCTCAACCTCAACTCCAGGTCTCCCGAATACCTCTCATTATTTATTGATGATAAGCTGAAAAAGGGAGTCAAAGGGGTAAGTAGTAATACATTTGAAAATATATTTAACTTTTTTTATTGATACGAAATTTTATATAAAAGTAGGACATTTTGTAGATAGAAAATTAAGCATAACCCTTTGCTGTGCTTAAACATGTGCTCTGGTCTATTAAAAAGTATTATTTGAAGTATTTGACATGATCAAAAGTTCGTTGACATTTCACTTAATATGTAATTGGCATCAAATACAAACAACCACACAACTATAGTTGTTAAACAGTCATCTTTATGACTGAGAGGCATGCTGTAGATCACTAGTCCCCAACCTTTGTGGCCCTAGGGACTGGTTTCATGGAAGACAGTTTATCCACAGATGAGGAGGTGGGGGGGGAATGATTTCCGGATGATTCAAGCACGTTACATTTATTGTGCAGTCAAACCTCTCTGCTAATGATAATCTGTATTTGCAGCCACTCAGCGCTAGCATCACCACCTCAACTCCACCTCAGCTCATCAGACATTAGATTCTCACAAGGAGTGTGCAGCCTAGATCCCTAACATTCGCAGTTTACAGTAGGGTTTGCACTCCTATGATTATCTGATGCTGCTGCTGATCTGACAGGACGTGGAGCTTATGTGGTGATGCGGGTGATGGGAAGCAGCTGTACATACAGATGAAGCTTCACCTGCTCACCTGCTGCCCACCTCCTGCTGCGTGGCCCGATTTCTAACGGGCCACAGACCAGTACTGGTGCATGGCCCAGGGTTGGGGACCGCATCTATAGATAACAAAGAACTAGAAAACAACTCTGCAGTAGTATATAACATTCCTTGCTTTCATCTGGTTCTGGAGGTTATATATCAAACCATATTTGGATGCCAAGAATGTGAAGGCATAGGTAGAACAGTTCTCAGAAAATAGTTTGGAAGCATAGACTAACATTCAGTTTCAAGCCTTTATGATATCTCTGGGACCTTGGGAGCTCACTACAGCATAGAAAATCAACTTAAGCATATTTTGATCATGCGAATTGGTCTTTTTATACATCATCTTGGAAATTTGTAAAACAAAAGGAAAAATTTTGCAACAAATGGTCACAGGTTTTACAGGCAGTAGCTGTAATAAGGAAATAAGAACACTAAGGATGAACAGAATGGAAAAGACTATTAATTGCACATCCATGTCAGTTTTCCATTTTTCTAAATATATCTAACACAACCTGCCACAGGATCATCTTGCCCTTATAAATAAAGACAAGTGGCCTTTTTACTGTTTGGATTATGACAAATTATTACCTTTTGTTTGCAAAATTTAGGTTTTGAATGAGCTTAAATGAAAGACCTGTCTTTTGGCCATGGAGTTTCTGCCTAAATATTATACAAAGGCGTCATAAAATGTTCTTTATGACTGAAATTTTATCTGTTCTCAGTCATCCCTCATCCAGTCCTATATTACTTCATGCGCCCGTTTCAGTAGCCCTCTAATGAATGGAATTCCACTCTAACCCCTCATTAATGCTGCACTGGGTGAGAGTGGAAGGATTGTGCCAGTACGTGAAGTGGGGGGCACTTTCTCAAACCATATCCCTTCTTCTGACATACGTCAACCAGATATTTATTATTTATTTTCAAGTAGTAGTGTTTTAGGGGAACTGTGGAGCTGTTTTTGTACAACTAAAATTGTTTAATTGTCTTTTAATTTTGCAGCTAACAGAACAAGAAGTAGAAACAATATTGGATAAGGCAATGGTCCTTTTTAGGTTTATGCAAGAAAAAGATGTATTTGAACGTTATTATAAACAACACTTGGCAAGGAGACTTCTCACAAATAAAAGTGTTTCTGATGATTCTGAAAAAAATATGATATCTAAGTTAAAGGTAAGGTATATATAAGATGGAACGGAGTGCACCTAACTAATGTTTGTCACATGATTGCATACCAGTAATGTGATGGGAAATTACTTGCTTAATCTTAAATGTTTATTTCTAGAAATAAATAAATATAGATTGTTTTGGGGTAGGACACAGGCCAAACTTACATTTTTTTTAAGTTATAGTATAGTCCTAATTTGCTGGGATTTCTATTGATGTGGCAGGATACATTCATGGAGGTCTGGGGGAGGATTAATAAAAGGGAAACAATAAAGGGAATATTACCATGTAAGTCTGTTTCACAAAGTGTGGTCCATAGAATACCTGTGCCTAAATCGCTTGAAATGCTTGTTAGAAATTCAGAGTTGTGGGCCCTACCTTCCGTGGGGTGGTATATTGGAATCTCTGAAAGAATCTAGCACTCTGCATTTTAGAATAAAATCCTGAGTTTGGTAACCAAAGGCATAGAGCAATTGTCGGAAAGATTTACAAAACAGACTATAAGGGATGGCAGTAACATGGAATAGTTATTTCTTCCTACATTTTTTCATAGAAAAATCTACCATTTATTTGCGTACATTTGTGTTTTTTCTCCACAGACTGAATGTGGGTGTCAGTTCACATCAAAACTGGAAGGAATGTTTAGGGATATGAGCATCTCAAACACAACAATGGATGAATTCAGGCAACATCTACAAGCAACTGGGGTAAGATTCTGAATTGATTTCTACTTCATATATTTATGTAAAGTTTTTTGTAATGGGCGTTTTCATCCATTTAGCAGATGACAGTTTCATTTAAGTGTCATTAGTGACAACATATGGATTGTCTAAGTACTTATTTTCCCCCATATTACCTTTTTTCCTAACTTTATTTATGTTAAAATGTTTTTTATTTAAAAATTT